GTCCGCCACGCATGGTCTTGCCGAATCAAGTACAGCGGAAGGAGGTTCCTGTAAAGGTGGCGCAGAAGCGGCCTTTGGCAGAGTAGGGGTTGGGGGCATCTCGGGGGAGGGATGGTGTAGTTAGGTCGACTACGGCGGCAGAGGTCCAAGCTAGCGTGAAAAAGGAGGAAGCGCAAGTGAAAGTGGCGACAACGCCAATCGATGAGCATCAGAAAAAGGCAGCACCGAAAGTTAGGAGTACGCCTCCGTCAACAGGGGTTAAGCGGAGGAGGGTTAACGCCAAAGCGAAGGGGGCTGTTGGGGTAGGGGGTAGTGGAGGTGCATGAGTTAACTGTGGGATTTAGGGAGATGCGAATGGTGTGGTATTCGATAAACAGCATGTGGTGAAGATGTTGGGGAAGGGCGTTCAGGCCGGTAGTCAGTTACAGGAGATGAGGGGGGAGGTGGGGGTACTGCCAAAGCCTAAGCAACAGGTGGGGGGACGGGTTGGAGAGTTGGAAGTTGTGTTAGTAGGTGATGACAGCGCCATTGGAGTGGCAAGCTAGTCATCAGATGCCCTCTCATAGTTTGCAGGATGCATTTGAGGTGGGTGTGGTATGAGGGGGGGAGTATGCACATGATCAACTACATGTGTTGCTGAGAGTGTGATAATTCGGAGGAAAATTTAGAGAATTTTTGTTGGCTTTCATACATTTTCACTTCGAAGTTGAGCGTAAATTGCGTAAAATGGTCAACTAGAAAATTTGGGAGGAAATTTTGAGGATTCCCTTGTTGGTTTTTGTACATTTCTGGCTGAATTCGTATGTAAACTCCTGATCTCAGCTGGGGAAAGCGAAAATATATTCCAGTGGTGATAGTGTGTGTCTGGCAGGTGTGGGCATTCTGTTGCCATTACTCTGACTCTCTTGTGGGTATCCCGGCTCGGCCAGCAGGGGAGTTTGCAGATGCTTTATTCGCGAGGACATTGACGCCGCTGATGCAGAGGTGGAGGGAGGGTGGTAGTGGTAGTTTTATGGTTTTTGTATCAGAATTCACCTGGCCCTGTTGCGGTTGGTGGTGCCCCATGTGGTGGCCTTGAGCGCTCGAGAGAGCTCTGATAAGTGGGGTTAGCTTCTGGTGCTTGGGAGGTGGAGGAGTATGTGCTTTAGGGCAACTTGTGGAGCTCTCCCGTATCTCCCGTTGAAGGCCTCATCAACGACCCTTACACTAGGATGGCAATGTTTAGTTTCGGAGACTATTTTGACGTTGGCGAAGGAGGAAGGGAGGAGAGAGGAAATTGAGGAGGGCGCGAAATGGATGAATTTGGTTGAATATAAAGACATTCCAGTTCGAGTTCGTATAACAGTAAGTCATCTGTTGAGGTTGGGAGGGACTTTTACAGTAAATCAGGTCATTAAGGCGTTGCTGGATAGTTGTCGCGTGTCACCATTATATGTGCGATATCGGGCATGCGTGTCGGCGGCGCTCGAGCGGGGGAAGGTGTTGACGGCGAGGCTAGCGAGGATAGAGAATGAGAGTATGGCTAGGGAGGTGGAGATTGGGTGAGTTGTGGGGTTGTTGGTATCGTCATTTAGGGAATCTTGCGGCGTGCGGTATGCGATTGATATTGAGCAGTGATACCCTCAGAAAAATACTTTTTCGAATTTTCCGGAAATTTCCGAAATGCAAACTCGGGATAATGCCGAGGCATATCGAACAAGTGACTCCCTTGATGTGAACTCAATTGGAGTCTCACTTGATGAGGTCTTGTTGTGTCTGGTTTAGGATTGATGCTAATGAGTGATGCTATGCTCAGACGTAGCATGTAACTCATTAACGTACTATTTGCAGGGGCATTTGGAAATTTCCGAGAACCAAAAAGCAGTCTGTTTTGGTGGAAAAATACCATTTTTTCGAGTTTTCGGAGATTTCCGACATAGAAATTTCCGAAAAGGCCCGGGCATATTGGACACTGTGCTCGTTGATTACTCGTTTGAAGTGAACTGCATTGAGGGAGTTCGCTTTAGGAGAGATGCTATTACCGAGAGGATAGAGGATCGTCGGCGAGAGCTGGAGCAGTTGGAAAGTAGGCTGAGGTCGCTGAATCACTGGGCGAAGTTTGGGGAGATGGACTTGTCGGGGGAGGAGACGAAGGAGGAGGAGCCTGCGGTGGCGATGGCAATTGATGGGGAAATGTCGGGTATGAGTTTAGTGGCACTGTGTCGGGAGGGTGTGGGAAAGGAGTTGAGGAAGCTGAGTAAAAGGAGGAGGGTGGTGAGCGCGGTCCGTCAACAGGGTACTAGGGCTCTGTTGAGGTTGGCGCCGGATGAGATGACAGGCCAGCTAACGGCAGTTGGCGTGGATAGGGTAGTAGGAGGGGGTTGGGACTAGGAACTCGAGATGAGTGAATTCTAACGCAGTTGGGTTGAAGATGTGATGAGAAATGGTCGCGCATTATAGGAGTTGATGCGAATGTTTTCAGTCGGTGTGATGTGAGTTAACGACAGTCACTTTTGAGTGCGGTGGTGGGTATATGACATTTTGGGAAAAAATAATTTTTGGAGATCCTGTGTAACAGCTTTTATATGAGTTTTTATGAAACTTTTTTTTCACAGTTGATATTATTCCCTCTTTGCTGTCCAAAGAACTCGTGCGCATTGTTTGTTAGGCTGGCCACTCTTACTTTGTCATACCGCAAGTATCGTCCACGACTCCATGCGTATGCGTACGGTATTCTAATGGGGCTTTGGGCTTCTATCAAACTAAGGAGGAAGTGGAAGGATTGGTGCTAAGTCTTGATCAAGAGCCCAGCAGAGCTGAGGGGAAGCTGAGGCGGCAGTTGGCGGAGCGCACAGCGAAGGATTTGGAAGTGCGAGAATCTTTCCCGCCAGATCTGCGGTCAGTGGAAGGCTTGACGTGTTTGGAAGCGGGAAGTGAGTTGAGAGAAATCGTAAAGAAGTTACGAAACGAGGCGGATAGACTTTTGAAATTAACTGTTGAGACGAGCCCGATTGTTGAGGTGAGCGAAGGCTATAACAAGATGAAGGCGATGGTGAAACCTGTTGAACTACCCAGCGTATTGTCAGCTGATGCGTTGGTTTCGGCAGAAGAAGTGCTGGGAGAAAGAGTGGGTTGGACTTGCCCAGAGGAGCGGCAGATTTTCCTTGCTACTCTAGGTCGGGAGAGTTGTGAATCTGGAGGTAGTGGTGGTAGTAGGGAGGGATGGTGGGAGGAATATGAGAGGGGATGTGATGAGGGCAGTGTGGAGGATGTGGTGGCGCCTCTGAACATGGAGGAGTTGAAGGATATGGGTTCGGATAAGGATAAGTCTCCGGTAGTGGCATCGGCTCCGATGATTCGATGGCCGTCTGTGAGTACCCCTAAAACGGTTAAGAGTGAACATCAATCGCCGATGAGCGGGTCGGGATCGGGCGGTAGAGGACAAGTGCACGAGTGTAAAGAGTGTGGGAGGATTTTCAAGTCGCAGGGAGGGTTGACACAGCACACGAATAGGGGCTGTAAGGGGCCGTCTCATGCGGGAACGCCCCATTCTTCTGATGTGAGCTCGCCGCAAGTTGAAGTGTATCCTTCGGCACCTCGGGAGGAAGGAGGAGAGTTGTCGCCACCAATACTCGCGATGTGCTTGGGATGGTTGCTGGATAGGGTTGATAAGAAAAATTGATAGAATTATCGATAAATGAGATATGGTCATTTTTATGGTCATTGTAGCATTAGCATTGCTTTGGGTCTGTGACAGGTCTTGCGTTAATATTACTCAATAGATTCTCGTGGAAAGTGGTCGTTGCTGTAGCATAAAATGATCTTCGTAATCGCTTGTCTGGGTGTATGGACAGTGTGTGTCAATTGTATATACTATTAATTTGCACTATTTCCTGAGGTTAAGGCGAATCGATCTGGACTTATGATCTGGACTCTGGACCTATGACCAAGTGATGGGATAGAAGTCTCTGGACGCCCGAGACTTTGATAGCGACAAGTTGTTCACTATCATTACTCTCTGAACGCGTTTCCCATATTTGCATATCGAATTGGGGCGCATTGTGATGCGAGATAGATTATAGGGGTATTGTCCCCCCAATGTCCTCGTCATCTTCCTCTTCTACTACCACCAGGCGGAGGAGAGTTTCCGAGGCAAGAGGGGGCAGCGTTATTGAGGCGAAGTATGAGAGGTTGAATAGGCTTGGACAGGGAACGTAATAAGATATGGCTTTTGGTCGAGGGAGGAGTCACGCGCCAGGAAATTAGCAGAGCAGGTATGGTACAGTATCGAGATGTCGGAATAAGAAGACTGGAGAGTTGGTAGCAGTAAAAGCTTTGTTAACGCCGGAAGAGATGAAAAGAAAGTCGAAGGAAGGGTAATGGGGACGATTGCGGCTATTATAATAAAACTGTAATAACCCTTATGATTGTAGTGTATTATAAGATATAGTTTTTATGGGAAACTGCGGTGCTGTCGCGAAAGAACATGTGGGAGTGCCGCGAGATGTTACCGTGTGATCCCGTGTTCTAAGATGTTGGAGAAGCCAGCCGGCATTTATGGAGCTCGGGGGTTTCGCCAAATTCTTCGACGATCTGACCCTTGGCGATGTAGATAGATGTTCATCTGTCGTTGCGATTACTTTCCCGGATTGTGTGGTTTTCTCTCTCCAAAAGTTCGCGGTAATTGTTCAAACGGCGGTAGTATAGGCTCTAGGGGCTCTATCATGACTTGGCTGCTCATTGAGCAGACCCTGCTGAGAGGAGGGTCCCTGCTAGGGAGATGCGATGAGTCTGCACGGCTGCAGAGAGTCCAATCTCGCTCGAAAGAGAAGGCTTGGGGTAGAGCAATGCTCTACCCCAGGGGCGGTAGGGTACGATCCTGGGGATCGGATCCCCTCACTTTACATGGTGCGATCGAACCCCTATGCGATGGTACTCGTCGGCTGTTCGGGGCATGTCTCACTCAAGCTAGTTGTTCCTGTCAACTGCATGAGGACGACTTCAATGAGGCTCAATAGCGGTGCTGGGTCGAGCTAAGGCATCATTCATCAACGTCGATACATCAAAATCACGGGTCTATTGAATCAACCGTATGACCACCACACTCAGCTGTGGGATGAGCGGCCGCCGTGTACCTTGCGTCGGTTCAGAACTGAACTACGTAGCATAGCTTCTCCGCACCTCTTTGGCATCAAACGTGGGGGGTATCCTGCAACATATCTGGCCTATGGTGCTGGTTGTTGTATTGCTCGTGGCCATCTACCGCATTAAGATGAGGATACGATTTTAGGAGAGGTCGTACGTCTTGGTGACAACCACATAATCGATTCGAGGGTAGATGGAGTTGGACTTCATCGCGGTGGTATGAATATTCTGTCTCATGGGAGCGCAATAGATTTGCTGCTGGGTGGTAGCTCTGTAACGAGGAGTTCGAAAACGATGTTCTCCTGAGAGGATCAAACCTCCAGGATGAGCTCGTGCAATCCTTGAATTCCAGTGCTTGTGCATGGTTTGGAAACTTCGCGCTGAGGCTTCGATGAGGCTGTTGTAGTGTTACTCCCTGGACGAAACGATTGTGTTTGTGTGATAATCGAGGAAGTTGTTTATTGATAATTGGAGTAAAGTCAGTCGCCTAAGTGGTCTGACAGTCAGCCCACTCTAATGGATAAATGACATCTTCTACGTGATGAGTGTCGGGGTTCGCATTACTATATGTATAGGTTCCCAGTAGTATCCCTACGAGAGATCGGTGTGCTGTCTCGAGTGAAGCACCGGAATGTGGTGGAGTTGAAGGAAGTGGTCCATGATGGGGAAGACAGTGTCTATCTGGTCTTTGAGTATTGTGAACATGATATTGCTACTCTGATGGATGTAATACAGGGGAGGGCTGTTGGGGCTATTGATGGTTCTTGTATACTCCTACCCTAAGCCTCGTGGCAATCTCTATAGTTAGTGAGGAAATGTCTAGGCTAAGGTGACGAAAGATATATTCCAACACGTATTGTTGATGGATTTGGTCAGCCATTATGAACTTCCTAGGGTTTTGTTCGCCTGTGTACTTAGAGAAACCTGATGCTACGCTGATGATGTTGTTGTTGTTGTTGGTGGTGGCAGGTAAATGGGGTATCGTTCTCTGAAGGGGACGTGAAGTGCATTTTTGTACAGCTACTACAAGCGGTGCAGTATCTCCATTGGGTTGGCATCATTCATAGAGACATAAAACCGCCTAATTTATTGCTTAACAACAAAGGTAGTATTATTTACCCACCTCTTTTTACAGAAGTGTCACTAAATGAGGTGACATACACGTTGTCTAATTCAGGGGTGCTTAAATTGGCGGACTTTGGCTTGGCTAGGGGGTATTCTCATACCATTCCTCCTAGAGATCAGCATCTTACTACGGTGGTGGTCACGCTGTGGTATAGAGCACCTGAGCTGCTCTTAGGACAGTCAGAGTAAGCTGTTGGGAATCTAAGGTTCCTCTGTGGTAGATACGGATTAGGTCTACAGTGTGGGACAATTTGATATGCAAATGTGGAGAGTGTGCGTTCCCTATTCCGAAATTAGTGATAGTGAACAACTTGTCGCTAACACAGTCTCGGGAGGTTACCATTGTCACATCACATGGTCATAGCAATGTTCACATTGTTTATGTGATATAGTTTGAGATCTATTCTCATTAAGACTGCATTCGCATATCAAATTCCCCCACACTGTATATGTTATCCTCCCTCAGCTACACCCCAGCGATCGATGTATGGTCCTGCGGATGTGTTTTGATGGAACTCCTCTTGAGCCGACCTCTCCTACCCGGCATGTCAGAGTCTGATCAACTGGCACGTATATTCGGTTTACTGGGTGGGTCGGCGGTAGGAGAAGTTGGTGGGGGTATGGTATGGGTTTAGGTACTCCTAGAGCGATCGACTGGCCTGAGATACAGTATCTACCGCACTATGAAGATTTGGCTAAACCGTTGTTGTTCACGACTTCGAAAGATACGTTGCAGGTTAGAAAGAGACAAAAGTATATTTCTCCTAGAGTGCGTGTCAATTTTATATGCAGATGTGAAAAATGTGTCTTAATTTTCGAGATGGTTGCGAATCGATCTGAAACTATATCGAATGAACATTGGTATGAACATGTGATCTTATAGGAGTAGCCTTCCGAGACTGTGATAGCGACAAGTTGTTCACTATCATTAATTTCGGCAATAGAAAACGCACATCTTTCACATCAGCTTATCAAATTGGTCGAGGGAGTTCATCTGTTCGCCGTTTTCAGAGCGTTTTACGAGATACGTCCACTCCAGCAGTACTGTACGATTACATCACCAACGATCTCCTCACGGTGGCCCCGGGCAAGCGCGGAGATGCCTGTCGTTGCTTGAAACATGAGTAATAAGAAACGAGGGGGTATACGTGTATGAACGCGAATAACCATTCGAACACCGTATCGATTTACGCATTAGCGAAAACTTTATATTAGTATTATTAATAATGATTAGCAAACTGAAGCATCAAGGAAATCTGGCGACAACGCACGTGTCGACCGTGAGCGTTTCATTTGAGGCATTCACGAGGGAGACAGCATCACAAACATTGATCACATAACAAGTACTAGAACATCTGCGATGTAGACAGTGTGAATAAGCCGGCTGGTATCAGTGGATTGCGCAAGTTGTGATAGTATAGGAAGGTAGAGCTTCGTCTCGGGCTGAGGTAGAACGATTATTGGTCGAGGTGTGTGGGGGGGGGGGGGGATATGCACATTGTGAACTACGTGTGATGGTGATAATATGAAAATTCTGAGGAAATTTTGGGAGTTTTTTGTTGGTTTCTGTACATTTCTATCCAGTGTGGGAGAATATGGACAGGGCCAACTACATGTGTTGGTGAAATTCTAGGGAAAGTTATCAAAAATCTTATTGGTTTCTGTACACTCGTAAGTTGCATAATTAGTGAGAAAACTTCTGAGTTCAGTTGAGGGAAGCGAATATATATTTCTGCAACACTAGTTGTAGGTATCTCACCCGAGCTCGTCCGCTACCAACGAGTACAGCATGGATGCAGACTTGGAAGGAACATCGTAATTTAACAGAGAAGAATACTCATGCTGGGCTTACTATGGTGACACGAGAAAAGGGGAGGTATGAGAATGCAGTTGCTGAGTCACATAAGAGGAGACGCTTTGGGGCTTCTGGAGGGTACTTTGTTACTTGAGGGCAGTGCTGGAAGTTGACTATTGATAGGGAAAAAGTGTGTGGTGTTGGTCACAGTGAGATGGGAGGTGACGACTCGTTGAGAATAACAATGGGAAAATATGCAACTATGTGTGTTGGTGAGAATATGAAAATTATGAGGAAATTTTTCGTTAATTTTCGTACACTTTTATCACTCGTAAGGAAGTGAAAATAGATTCTTCCACTACTGGTTTTGTAGTTGAGGTGGGTTCGGTATGTGCTCGCCCACCGTTAGAAGGTGTTTCGACGTGCTCCTGAGGATTGGAGACTTCTTTACAATCAGCATCATTGTGATGGTGCATAGCAGGTGGGAGTATCTTAGGTTGAAGTTGGTAAGATACACTTTAGGTTGCTATGGTCAATCGATCCTGCGGAGTCTACAGTAGATTTGTTCGTGCTGGCAGCCCTAAGGATGATATGGCGCTCGCCCTTATCGTGGAAGGTCTCTTTAGGATGGACCGTGGTGAAGTTGGTGGTCAGAGCGTTGCAACTGCGACCTGATGAAGGTAATAGACGGTTTTTGCATCAGAAAGTTGGGGTAATACTCGGCTGAGGGGTATGCTAGTAGTAGTTGATGAGAACGTCTATGATACATTGACGCGAGTAATGTGGCAGCTTCGATCGACCTCTGTGAGAGCTAAGCAGTAGAGGCGTTTTGCCTCTCCCTCTGGAGGGTTGTTCGTCTCACAGCATCCTCTTGAGGTCCTGCGTAGGGGCTGGTGAATGCATCAGAAAAAAAACTATGGTAAAAGACGGATGGCTCGGTAGAATTATACAGAATTGTTTGCGGTGTAGACGAGACCAGTTGGTTGGGTATTTTCCTCACTGTTCAGCATCAGCTCACGCGGTGGTGACGGCATCGATAGCGACAATAGCATGGGTGCTCTCCCGCCTCGCTGTGTCCTTCCTAGTTGGAAGGCTCTTCGTACCGAGGTGTGTGAGGTTGTTGGGAAATGAACGGTATTGATTTATGTCAGATCTCGCGAAACGGAGATGCTGTTGCAGGGAAATGAGGAGGGTGGTGGAGTAGCTCATGGTGATGTTGGTGATGGGCAGAATCTTCCGGCTGCGGTGAGGGCGAAGATATGCACATAGTCAACTACATGTGTTGGTGATACATTGTGGAATTTCTGAGGGAAATTCTTATTGGCCTCATTAGTGAGTTTGAAACTGAGGATATATTCGTCTGACTCTGGTTGGGCGTATCTTTTAAGTTTAGGGAAGCTCGAGGGATAATCTTGTTCATTGGACACGACTACTTGGTCTTGCACGCACGCAGAAGATTTTGTTGATATCGGGGTGAGTGCAGTCGAGTTAGTCTTTTTAAAATGTTGGTTCAGATCGGTGGTGTTGGTAATTCGTTTGCCATTTTCTATATCTCTGCCGCACTTTGTGAGTGAGGCTATCGGTGGGCTTATGGGAGACGATATTGCTCGAGTGAAGCACGCCGTTTGTAAGTGCCCTGGTGAAGCGTGGATTCAATTTATGGCGATCTTTCTCATTGTGGAATTGCCAGTTATTGGCGTTGTAGTAACCGTTATTCGGTTAACGACGGTATAGAAGATCATCACGGTTACCTTTTCATTCAACGTGTATTGTGCTGTCTCCCGTGATAGCCTTCGTTGCAATGGTGGTGTCCCAGGGGAGTTCATCACATACAGCGCGAGGTGTTGTTATTGATATTGGCATTGGTCTGCAGTGCGAACCGAAGAGTTATGCATATCTAATTTCTCGAGATGGCTTTCGCCAATTCGAGAATACGGGAAGCTCCGTGTCAATCGATTCACATTGTTATCATGTTGATATTACTCAAA